CTGGCAACTGTGAATAGTGTTTTAAGCAAAGCTTTAAGAGATTTTGGCAATCAGAACGCAGAGAGGTAAATGACCTAATCTGTTTTCCTTTCTAAATGGCTGCATGGGGAATAAGAGCGAATGAAAGCAGAGTCACAGGCTTGGGATCTGCTCCTGATACACTTATGCCAAGTCGGCCAACTATGTCATTATGACAATTTCTGCAAAGCTTTTTTGTTAATCTGAATGCTTCGGCAGGCGAAAACAGAGAGGCTAAGTCAGCAAACTGCCCTTGAAACATAGGATACACAAGCTACACGAAGCAGCCATATTGTTGTTTTACTACACACTTTCAGTTTCCAAAATCTTGACCTCAGTTAGCCTCTGCATTTCGGAACTGACAACTGTTCTTTGCTATAAGAGCACAGCATACAAAATAAAGATATACTTTTTATGTACTCTATGTGATTAAGACACTTTTTGAGTGAGTTAATCTTGAAGTTCTTCTTCTGGAAAACTGTTCTAGCATATTGTTCTTCTTCTTGGAAAAATGTTCTAGCATATTGTGAATTTTTTTTTGTTTTTTTGGATTATTCACACACTGCTAGGGCTTTCCCTATCCTGGTAATGTTACTAGGGTCTGATGCCGTAATCTAATTTGGTAGTTCTGGGTATTTTCCAGAATCAGAGCCTTGTGTGAATGCAGCTTATGATTTATGTATGCCAACATACAGTGATTTAAAAAAATATTTATTTGATTTGATTTTTGTTTTATTTTACCTTTTTATTAACAGAAATTCCCATTGAGATCAAACATTTCGGTAGCACTTTATTTTAAGGGCCAATTCTCACTTTTGACTAGTTGCTTATTAACATCCGTATTACTAGCATATTGGCTGTTTATTAGTACTTAAAAACATATTCATGCCTTATTCTACATGACAATATTTTAGATCCCTTAATCCTACCACATACCTAAACTTAACAACTACTTTACTAACTCTTAAATAGGAAATTAGGAATTAGGAATTTATAGTAGCAAAAGTCATAGTTAGAAGTTAATCGTGTGAATTGGTGCCAAAACAAAAGTGTGACCAAAATGTCTTCTACGAAAGAGATCTGACCAGGGTAGCAGCCATACAAACAAGATTAAAATATAACACATACAACGTGATATCCAAAAACCAATATGATGTTTACAGCTAGTTGCCACCTGTTATAAAACAGAAAAAAAGTGAAAACACAAAATAAATATAAAGATAAATTTGATTAGTAGCATAATTTATTTATTGATTTATTTCAGAATTTCTATAGATATCATTTAGGGCTGTCAATTTAACATGTTAATGTAATTAGTTATGGAAAAATAACTCAATTCAAATGTTTCAACAGTTATCGCACCCGACCCAGATCTGTACATCATCTTACATTTCATACAGTTGACTGTTGACAAACATGATGCACCGCAACAACTCACTGTGTGATGTAGTCTGTAAATGCAGTAAATGCCCCTAAAATTCAATATATTGGGGTAAAAATGGCCCCTTAATGAGTTTTTGTCTCATATTGTCATATTATAAGCAATATCACACGAGCAGCGAGAGCTGTATCACACGAGTGCTGTTTTTGTCCTGAATAGCATGAGTGCAAATGTGATTTTATACAAGGGTTCAGTAAATGAGGAGCTGATATTGTGTTCTATATTTTTGCTCAATTTTCCCAACGAAAATATTACTTATAAAGAAACAGCAGACCTGTTGTGCGTCTCTTAACAACACAGTAGTGATTCGTTTCTAAATGAATCTGCATTTTGGATGAATCGTGTGAACCAATGATCCAGTGGCCCAATCATAAAGAGAGCCATTTATGTAATTCCTCAATGAAATTAAAGGGATAGTTTGCCCAGAAATGAAATTGTCATCATTTACTCACCCTTATGTCGTTACAACCTGTATGACTTGCTTTCTAGTAGAAAGCAGAAACAACATAAAGACAGTATATTTTTTATATTTTTTTTAATGACATCTTTTTTTGTGATTGTATCGCTGATACCAATACTACTGATGTCTCTATGAAATAGTTTCCCCCCCCCTAATATTTAACCATTGGCTATAGCCATTTAACATTACAGTATCACTGAGAGATATCAATTTGAATGTTTATTAGACTTTAAAAAAATAACAACTTCTAATTTAAGTTAACTTAAAGGAGACATATTATGCCCCTTTTCACAATATGTAATATAAGTCTCTGGTGTCCCCAGAATGTGTCTGTGAAGTTTCAGCTCAAAATACTCCACAGATCATTTATTATATAATTTTGAAAATGCCTATTTTGAGTGGAAGCAGAAACACGCAGTTTTTTGGGCCTGTGTCTTTAAATGCAAATGAGCTGCTGCTCCCTGCCCCCTTTTCAAGAATAGCGCTGCTCCATTACAGCTCGTACTTGCTAAAAATATCTGCTTTGGTTCTAATTATCATGTTTATCGCGCTGAAATCATGCGTTTTAAACCATATGAGTTTAAATTTCTGATATACGGTTTTCTGAGAGCACACATCCAAAGCACACGGACAGAAAGCGGCTGTCACAGCATGTGAGTACTAAACT